TCCTTTAGTCAGGAATCTATCTATTAATGCACGGTCATTCTTCAGTATCAGTGAGATCTGATTTATCCTTCCAAAACTATCTCATTCAGACATTTTCTTTGAGGACATGTGCCATTTACTTGAAAACCCCCAGTCTCACTTGCATTATTGAAAGTGCTACAAAAACAGTGAAGGGCTAAACTAAAAGAAATGCATCTCAAAATACAAATGCTCTGGATGAGGCTATTTTTATGGTTCTATTATTAGTATGTTTTAACATACAATGAGTTCTGTATGCAAGAATTTACCTGTTTGTTTATAAAAAAGGCCAATTCACTTCTTTACACTTCACACCATGCTTCAGCAGTAAATTACTGCTCTTCAAACTTTTAATATCTTATTCAGAACTTGGCAGAAGATGCTTAGATGTGACTCAGCTAAGATAGAATTATTATTGCAGACGAGGAGGTCTGAACACAACAGTTGATTACCCACCACAAAGTCAAGAAGCCAGAGCCTTCATAAATATATATTGCTCCAGAGTTTAAACTCTTAACTTTTTCTGTCTGCCCTTTGAAGCTAGGAGATATTTGATTGCTTTCTTGATACCCTTAGGAGGCCATGAAATATATTAATATCCAAAGGTCTCTAGCCTGGGAACTGCTGCTTCAATCCTTACAGCTTGTGAACTTCAATCCTTACAGCTTGTGTATTAGCTTGATTCAAAACTCAGTCTGTGTTTACAGTGGATTGGTGTTTGTTGTGATAGGGTAAAACAAAGCTACAAATGCTTCATTTTGAGAGAGTGAGCAAAAGGGGTCCTTGGTGCTCTCTGAGCTTGCTTGCTTTCTTGCAGACATTTCATTACCCAAATTAGGTAACATCATCAGTGCTAGTAAGGAGTGCAGTTTGCTGTCAATTTATATTCTAGTGGCTTGCCTGTCTGTGTTGGTGGGGGTGGGTTCTTTGGTTGGGCTGTTTGCTGTTGGCTTCTTTGGCAGTTTCTTGATTGGGGTATTGTTTGGATATTGGTCTGACCATTCTAAACCAAGCCAAGTCCAAAAACGCCAGGGAATTTCTAGAAGCCTGGCACTCTCACAAATCAGCCATCAATAGACATGTAGACATTAACAACATATATAGACCATGCAAAAGAGACTATTACCCACCCTGAAAAGGAACAAAAAGACCCAAGCACCTCTCCACCAGTAATCAGCACCCAGATCAGCAAAGATTAACTCCAAGGTTAACATCAGACCAACATTCAAGTAAACAATACCTCAATTAAGAAATCAAGGACCCCCTCATGTCAACCCTGAGCTACAAATATTCTCTTTTATTAGTACAGTGAGCAAAGTGGTCCATCCACCATGAAATATTTGTAGTCCTCTTCTCTTTTGCAGATAAAATGCTCTACATATTTATATTTAGAAAGTGATCCCAAAAACATGTCACCAGGACTTTGGCACTCTGTCATCCATCAGAAAAGATTAAAGAAGAGTAAATGACTCTGACTTTGCTCTCAGTGTACAGAAAGAGAGAAGTCTTGACAACTCAGCAGAGTAACCATGAGAAGGGCTTCTGAATATCTGTTGCCATCTAGTCGTTCCCTGAATATTTGCAGTCCATATATACTGAAATGTTGTATTTATACCCAGGTATGCCTGAGGGTCATGGGGCTGAGTGTGTTCCAGATGGATGAGAAACCATACAGACTTAAAGGTAGTCTGGAAGAGAAATGGGTAACTTGGATGAGGGGCTCTTGTGTGCTGCATTTGGGTTGTGCAACTGTGAAAGAAGGATACTGAATGAAGGTTAGAAAAATAAATTCAAGACTTTGGGTTTGCATTTTGGATCTCAGATTTCACCTCTGCCACAAAATAATGGCAAGCAAATTATTTCTCTTTAGCCTCAGAAGGTAATTGTACGAATCAAAAATTGTAGTGTAAATGAATAATTATGTATTCTTAAATTCAGACCTGTTTCATGTTTTATTAAGATTGGACTAATGATTTGTATAGTATTGTAATCTCATTGGCTTTCTCACAAAAATGTGTTTCGTGATTGGCCAAATCACAATAGCACTTTGTGGTGCACTTAAATAAGATATATACCCATCGTCCTTAAAAGGTGGAAAATACTCCCAGTAGTGGCTTCCCAGCTTCACCCGGCATTGACAAGTGCTGAAAGTGCAGAGCAGATTCCCTACTATGTCTGCAAATGATCAGCAGACATAAAATTAATGCTGCATAATTATTCATTTTCAATGAAATTCCCAGAATTGATTCCTAGATCTTCAGCACAATCTCTTTCATTTTCACAAGAAAAGAGCACATATCACTTATTTTCAGTTTCTCCATTTTGGAAAAAAAATCTGGCTTTATTTGTAAATTCTACAAAATACAGAGGAGTCTGGCAGGACACTTACTGTAAGTCAGAAAATAAATAAGTACTTTTTTTCTTGCTCTATAGAAGATAAAATGTGATTTGCATATATAAAATATAAAGTACAGCTCTGTACCAACATCCCGGCCGTGCCACAAGGCAGAACGGCATAAAGAATGTGAAAATAACTTATATTCGTGCAATAAATAAATCACAGGGTAGGAACAAGGAAAAATAGGGTGACAAGGGTAGAAACGTTAAAGAGGGAATCCCCATTAAGGGTCAAAAGGCTGGAGGGGAAGGATGGACAACACTGGTTTGGAAGCTGATTCCATGTTAGGGGTAGAAGTCACGTCAAGCTGCAGGATGGGTAAACCCATCCATATGTCTTTTTTTAAAAATGGATCATACTTGCCACATAAATAAGTCACTGGCACATGCCTGGAAATGATTACCCACAAATACTCACTGGTTCTTATGTTAGCAACGTATATTTAATGGAAGAAGGTACTTTCCTAAGTCTTCTAATCTAACCCTTCTCCATGCTTTCTACAAAATTACTGTATCCATGTCTCCCAGGTGTATAAACTTCCCAGTTTCTTAAGCAATGGAGCTGCCAGTGTCTCTTGGTACAGATGTGCTATTCTCATATTGTCCATGCTTGGCATAAGATTTCATACCCCTTTTAAAATGAGAAGGCAATGGGCTAAAACTGCTTGGCCAGAAAGGCATACGAATGGGCAGTATATCAATAGTTGATTCTACAAGTCCAGTGCTACTAATATTCTGTGTGTACATGCAGGCAGCTTGGTTTAAATGGCATATGGGATTCATGAAAGCATGGCAAGGAAAGGGAAACAGTACACTGTTTAAGTTTGTGTGTTTACTAAGTTAGGCTTTTGAATGGTATCAGTTTTCTCTAATTTGTGTTCTCTGCAATTCACAGCATTTCCAGCCAACATGGCAGAATGCATCTGGAGAACCATTGGACGGTATAAAAGCTGCTACAATAAAAGGGACGAGATTGTAATTGTAAACATTTTTAAAAATTAAACAGTGTGGTTTTTACAGTAAATCCTACTAAGTGCATATGAGAATATTATCTTAAAAGAACAAGAGACAAATACAGTGGCATCTAGGAGAACTTGACTCTGCCATTGTGCTAGCTTAGATTAAACTAGGTTTTATTTTCATGACAAAATTATTTTTGGCTATGGTTCAAGTTATTTTGCTGCTCTTGTGAAAATGCATCCTGCAGGTATAAAGAAGCATTTTGAATTTCATCTACTACACTTTCCTCAATAGAAATGTATCTTGCATTTTACACAATTGAATAGAGCAAAAATTAGGCCACAAAACAACACAGAGGAACTATATTCCTCACCAATGGTGTTTCCAACTGAAGCCTCTTTTCCTTGTTCTGTGTAAGTGATTGGCCCTCTCTCAACTTGCTTTTGGGGAGAAAAAAAGAAACTGAAAGAGATGCGCTGGGTTACACCCCATCTCTATGATTAGGACTGATTCTGAACAGAACCCCACACCCCAAGGAAATAGCCTGTACTGCTTCTTGGCTTGGGCCAACCTTCTGTATAGCTTGGTTCCCTTGAACATAAAATGTCTTAATCTCTGTAATAGTTGGGTATATTTCTTTCCTGAGTTTCTATTTCTAGTCTTTTGCCAATGCAAAAACAGAAAGAAAATACAAAAGGCTCTCTTCATTACATTTAGTTTGTTGCTATTAGTACCCCTCATGAAACTAATTGTTTTAGAACTCGGTATCTTCTCTAGAAGTTCACTTGCAATTCTGTTGCCCCTTCACTATCCATCAGTCTCACTTGCTTTATCCATGCTGCTCTTGCCTCATTTAACACACTCCCTCTTTACTTTTCCCATTTCTCTCTCTCTCTCTCTCCCTCTCTTTCTCCCTCTCTTTCTCCCTCTTTAGAAAGCTGTTTCTATTTTGTCCATAAAACCTCAGCAGAAGAGCACTTTTACAATCAAAAGAGTATTTGAAGCACAACTGCATCCACACACAGTTGCAGAGAGATTGTCTCTCCAGTGTCTGCAATGTGCATAATTCCTTTATTTCTTCCTAGGGTGGGTTAGCAGCAACTAATTCTTTTCTTGACATGTCCCTTTTGTGATCTGTTTTTCCACCACCATTACAGTCACCAAGCAATAATACTTTTTTATCATTTTTAAATGTCTACTCATCAGAGGCTCAGACTGATTTTTGTAAAACAATAATTTCATGCTGAAGCGATCAAGAGACTCTGAATTAAACAGTAGGTAACTGGGAACTATGGTTTACAACAAAAAGCAGACAGAGTTATACATGAATACCTAATGTCTGAACAGTGCACCAAGAAACTGGGAAATTGATATCCTCTGATAACATCTGGATTATTATAATCACTAGGTTTTAGACCTTAAAAGAAGACTTCAGTCTTGGCATCTTTTTTTCCAATCAGATAGAAACTATCTGCCTTTCTCTATAATTGCTGTCAAAACTTCTCTGAAGCAGCATTTTCAACTAAGGTAAAGATCTCATCTTCAAATCTATCTGTTTTACATTTAATCAGTCATAAGGTATGAAGCAGCAGAGAAGAAAACCTAACAAATATAAAATGGAAAAGAAAAATAGAAATAACTGGCCATTGTAATCCAATTCACAAATAACTGACAGCTAAAATTACACAAGTTGGACACCACTTTCCCACAATCTTCCAATGAAGGCAAGGACTAAGGACGAAGTTCAACATTTAGCCATTTGGTCTTCAAGTCAACTGTGTCTCCTCCAGTGGGTAGAACAAAAGTGGGAGAAGGAAAGAGCCAGTGCAGCTACAGCCGCTTTAGGTAAGAGCTGTGCAGAGGCATGGCAATAGGACTTAGTTCATGGCTTGGCTTGTAAGCACTAGGAGTAGGTGGCCTGGTTGGAACCAGATTTGACAATCGTGATAACGCTGGCAGTTGCCACCTTTGCAGCAGTGCCATGAGCAGTGACTGTGCGGGCAAAGCCCTGCAGCGCTTCATACTTGCCACGCAGGGCGTCCAGCTCAAGGCGCATGGCAGCGTTCTCCCGCGCTAGCTTATCAACTTCCCTTTCTAATTCCGTCTTTTGCTTCTGCAGCTCCTCCTTTTGACACACCCGCTTCACTCGGCAGCTGGCCGCATAGCCACGATTCTTTAGAGTGCGCCGACGTTGCTTCAATCTTGCTACCTCCTCCTTGGACAGACCTCTCAGATGGTGGTTAAGTTCCCGCACTGACAGTCCCATAAGCTCCTCATCTGAAAGATGTGGTGTGTTCTCACCCATCTCCCGTTTGATCTGTTTAAGAAAAGGATCGAATAGTTGAGAATCAGATGTACAAGTATAGGGAGAATCCAGAAAACCCCCCAGCAACAACTGGAAAGAGAAAGGACAGCCTAGAAGAATTAAAAATAAACAAATGGGAACATTTTGTAGCAGTAGTATGTTGGTATTGTTTTTATATATATTTGTATTTGTATATATTTTCTACAATATTCTTTGAGTTAGGGTTTTCCCCCTTATATTGTAATAATTATATTATAAATTCCTCATTAAAAAAATATGAATTTATTATAAGGATTTGAAATTTGAAGACTTGAGTAAGATCTTTAAACCATTTAGCCAGGACTAACTGCCAATGAACTCAATGGAATTTACTTCTCAGTAGAGGGGGTTGTGTACTTAAATCAGTGTCAACTGAATCAATAAAAGTTACCCATCAACTAAATAAGTAGGATCAAAGTATGACTAGCTTAGTCTGGATTTATGCTCGTCACTTTGCTTCTTTAAAGACTTTTTTAATTTTCTGTTTTTATTGTTGCTATTATTTCACAGCAGCAGAAATTACAACCAAATATAAAAATTTGTATTTCTTATACGTAATTCCCCCATAACTTCACTGTATTAACCCCTTGATCCAGTTCATTGATTAGTATACAGAAATTGCTTTCTATATCAATTTCATTTTTTTGTTTTATAAAGCATTTTTGAAAAATGGAGTTCTTTGGATTCAGAGGAAAAATTCTAGAAGAGCAACTTGAATATATTTAGCATTGGGTCTCAAGTAGCTCTTTGGGAAAGAAGCCACAATCCAGATATCATTGCAGAAGATACTCCATTTCTGGGATTAATCAGACAAAACTGATTCAGAGAGCACTCAAAAAGCAGGATCCAGAATGCAAATCTTAAAATTGGTTTGATACAATCCTTTATTTATGGGATCACAAAATCTGTTTCCAAACTCCATAATTCAATGGAGGAAATAGCTACATATATGAGACGTTAGCTTTTGAGAACATCAAGATTATCGTATTACACTGACTAAGCATTGCTCAATATTGGTGTAAGACACATGTGATATTTTCCTGCTAGATGCTACTGGCTGCATTCCAAATCAATTTCCAAACACTTCTTATGAACAGAATTTGCAATTTTTCTGCTTTAAGGTGTTTCTAAGCAAAAGTTAGTGAATCAACACTTTATTGTCCTGACTTTCCAGCTTATGGGAACACAGCAAGAATACCCATTCCTATTCAAACTGTTTTGGGGCATTAAATAATTAGAAGGAAGTGACCACTTGTCTAAGCAATCCAACCTAGTCTGAGTTTTCACACTTAGACCACATATTGCTTGAAACTATTTAGTTTAATTAGTAGACAATTTCTAATAGTGTCGGGAAAACAAAGACATGTAAACAATAGCACAGCATTCTCTTGCAGATCAAGCATTGCTAGAAACAAAGTTATAATTGGATATTATCATTATGATATTATCATAATTTCCAACCTGCTTAGTTACAGGTCTTTTAACAAAATACACCAACTTCCGGACAATAATTGTTGGCTCCCTAAAAATCCTTGGGGTGAGCATACCTATCCCTGGCTGTTTCATACAAAATCTGTTCTAAATTAATGTGCTTGGTTTCCTCTTCTAGAACAGCTAAGTGGGTAAATACAGTTCCCAAAATTGCTGCCCTGGATTTTTGTTTTAAAAATCTTACTGCTAGAGACTGGCAATGAAGAGATGCATTTCTTTAATATAAAGGAGGGGCTGGCTTCCCTTGACAATTTGTGTGACTTCTCTGCAGGGCACACCTCCACCAGTCCTTACTTTACCTGCACACAATAATGGGTTGCTTCTATCCTCCAGGTTTGTGTTTAAACAAGCAATGTGACAATCTTAAGAATGGGGAGGCAATAGTTTCAGTTTTTGTTGTTTCTTTTCTTGGATACAAGCAGGGAAAATACATGGAGAAGCAAGTGCTGTTCTTCAAATATTTCTGAGAAAATTAAAAAGGGCCCGCTCGTCAAAATGTGTTTGTGTATGCATATATATGGCAAGAATTTATAGTTCACATTAACAAAGCGACATCAGTGCAATAATTTTCAGAGAGGAAAATTATATTAGGAAAGACACAGAACATCCTTCCCCTTTTTGGCTCAATGCTGCTAGAAACATTTGCAAATATGCGTCCATGTGTGCTTCAGCAACTGTGTGGGTTACAGACTGGCTATTCTTTAAAAAGAAGTCCTATATCAACTATTGAAAATAATTTAATTCCATACAAATTTCCACACACATGTTCACCATTTCTGAAAAGAGGGCGAGGGACAAAGGAGAAAGTGAATAACAACACAAGCAGGAAGAAAAAAATGGTGAAATGGAGGGAACATAGAACAAGGAAGTAAGGGCACAAAGAAGAGGAAAAGTGAAAGGGGGGGCCTAGAATAATTCCAAAGAAGATCAGGGGAACGTAGATGTACACAAATTGTGCAGAAACTCTGTAGAGTCTACAAGGTTCACTTTTCTTCCAATGAAAACTCTGGATGTTGTTGTTTTTTAATGCCAGCTAATAATTATTGATTTAAGTCATGATGATCAGTCTCTTATAGCAGAATACCAGAGTTTTATAGAAGGGATATGAAATCCCTAGGACAGGGCTTTTCAACCAGTGGTACGGGTACCACCTGTGGTACATTGGCACCTGGCAGGTGGTACGCGACCATCCTAGAAAAGTGGTAGCGGGGGAGGGGAATGAGCTGAACCGGTGGCGGCACCGCACAAGCCTGAGCGAGAGATGGCTGGAGCTGCAGGGCTCAGCGGAAGCGCCAGGATCAGTGCTGCTTTCCAGTTGATCGGTGCTTCTTCGGGACTGTCAGGGCTCAGCGGAAGTGCCAGGATCAGTGCCAGGCTCCAGCTGGAGCTTGGCGCTGATCCTGGTGCTTCTGCTGAGCCCTGAAGAAGCACCAATCAGCTGGAAAGCAGCAGTGATCCTGGTGCTTCTGCTGAGCCCATAAGAAATGCTGATCAGCTGGAATGTTGCAGCATCTCCAGGGTCTTGTGATTTACATTCAGATGCTTGGCAACTGATTCATATTTATGACAGTCACAGTGTCCCAGGGTCATGTGAAGTGACCAAAACCTGCTGCAACCACCCAGCAGACGGGGGGAATAAAAACCAAACACCCCCCCACCCCACCCCCGCTGCCAATCCTCAACAGAAATGCTCACAACAATGCTCACAACAATGCTCACAACACAGACAGGAGGAAGTTTATAACACCTTTCTAGGCGACTGGTGGTACTCGGATATTGCCATATCCTAAAAGTGGTACAATGGGTGAAAAGGTTGAAAAGCCCTGCCCTAGGAGACCCTCTAGCTTGGCAAAAAAATTAGAGAGGGAAATGTGTTTTTCAAAACTGCTAGGTTAGGGGTGTCAAATTGCCGGCCCACGGGCCGGTTGCATCATGCAGAGGCCGTGCCCATCCCAGCTCTGGTAATGCAAAAAATCGCGATACGTCACGACATGTTACGTGACATGGGAAGTTTGACACCCGTGTGCTAGGTCCTTACCTTTAGGGCTTTGGTTGACAAGCTGTCAGATGACATTTTCTTGTGCGCTCCTGATAGTCCCCCAGAAACAGCCTGTAATTGAACTGAGAGAGAATAGATCTGTGATTGCTATTCATTTTTCAAAATTGTTGTTATTTAACGCTTGTCCACGGGTTGTGTTTTTCACGAAATTTCCATTCCTTTTCATCTGTCCACATCTTCCAGTCTCATTTTCCTACTATCCATCCTGCCTAGTAGAAGGATACAGGATGCTGGCTTTTTTTTTTT